GCCGAGACCAGCGGACGAGCAGATCAACAGCCGCCTTCGATGTCCTGCGCTTGAAGAAGCCGCAGGCCGGTTGTGCCGTGAAGCCGGGCCCAGGGCTGAGGTCACCACCAACGTCTTGGTCAGACCTGAACACCCACACCTCCAAGCTTCCAAGCAGAATAATTGAGGTCATCGCCGTTGCACTCGCAGTCGGCACCACCCTCGTATGTGCTTTGTCGTCGGTGCTCCCCACCGCTGTGGTGGGACCGTTGGAGGTGTGGTCCCTGAAGGCAAAAATGAACGGACCACATGGAACAGCTTTGGCACCGGCGGTTACCCCTTGGAGTGCTGGCGCCGCCTTTCTCGTCGGCCCCCGTGCCGCTCCGGGCCAGTGCGCACGCGGCTGAGGTTGCTCACCTGTTCGCCGAACTGACGTCTCTGGAGTCACCATGCGTCATGTTGTGCCGCCGCAAAGTTAGATTAAGACCGCGAACCATGGCGCCAGCCCAGTGAAAATGGCAGCATTTTTGCACCGGCCTTTGCCAAGTGCTTTGCAACCATGTCACAAAAGCGCAGTTTTTCCTAGCGCGATCTCGAGCCACTGATTTGGCGCCAGCCACACAGAAGAACGCCCCATAGACCCAGGGGAAGACAAGCTCCAGAAGTGCCTTGGGGCTGCATTGCCACTTCAACCAGGAAAACCGATAACCAACAAAGTGTTTAGCTGGTGTCATTGTCGGCAGCAACCAAGGGTTGGACCACATACCAGGAGTCGACGCAGGACATGGTTTTGAGGAAAAAAAAGAACGCGTATGATGCAAGTGGAAGCAAATTGAACTTTGAGAACACCAGGGGAGGAAACCATGAACATTGCATGGAATTGTTCAGTGACAGCGGCTGGGCATTATCACGCTTGAGCCAGAAGAGCGTACGTGCACCACAACGCCAGCTCTGTCCCAAAGTGGAATTGCTACTTCCAGGCCGTTGCCGACATGCTATGTAGAAGGCGTTCAAATTGTGAAGCAATGCATACTTCACATGCTCTCACAGCTACATGCCTATCATACTTAGCCACAGCAAGGTGCGGCTTTGCAGACCGCCTTGCAGTTGGGTACCGCATGACCTTAACATAAAGTCGTTGGCGCATCACCCCCTAAAGTCACCTTTGTGAAGAGAAAAACCAATTGAGCTGGACAACGAAGTTGGTTTTGTTGACAGTGACTCGGGTTTAGAGACAAGGGAGGCGCAACTCAGTGATTATGTGACAATTTTCATCATCATCATCATCATCATCATCATCATGGTCCCACTGAAAGTTGATGAACCCGTTTGGAAACACAAAAGGCTGTATACGGTTAATCTGGCACTTCAGGGGTGCAAATTGAGTTACTTGTGTGGGCGAACGATAGGTCCACCGTACGTGCTTCCGCTGCTAAGCCATGGAACATGGCTGACAAAGTGTGTGGCCTGGCAAAAGAGCAACGAACTAGCTGTTTGGAAAGTTTTTGTGGTTGTGAGCACACATTCTCCGTCACTCTCTCTTGCTCTCTCTGTGCCTCGCCTTGGTAGTTCGAAAAGAATCACCGACACATATATACATACACTTTGGTGCAGATGTCGTGAACCCCGTTCTGTTGTGTGAGCCGTAAAGACTGAGTGTGTTGCATCGTTAGGGGCCCTGGAACCTGAAGATTTGTATGTGCAACAAGCTGCAGCAGCGGTGAAGAAACACCGTTTTTTGTTGGACATTTTTGCGTGCAGTATGCCGCCCCCAATTTCTGTCTATTCCCTCGGTTCCTCCATTCGCCGCCGAGGTCTTTCACCCAGCGGAGTCTCCGCATGCGCAAGCCAACTCGCAGTTTCTGACACATGACAAAACCAGCGCAGAGAACTTGCAGGACAGTAGCGTCGTGGAATTTGTGACTCTTGGTAGTGCAAGGGAACCCTTAAAATTCGTTGTGCGAGCAGTTCACTGTGGACACGGTGATCGCAAAGAACAAGTACCCAATTTTTTACAGGCAGGAAAAACTTCAAGCAAGCAAAATCCTTGAGAGGGAAAACGCACTGCACAAACAAAGGTGGGGTTTTCAATACCCCCATGGAAGGTTTAGAGCAAAACAGAATCACGCGCCAGTCGGACAACCCACTATACGAACTCGAATTGTTGCCAGTTTGCACCTCCTTCGGGTTCCCTGCTTGAACAATTGTCAATTGGTAAGCTACCTAGATAATGATGCCGTTTGATCAAGTATGTTGAGGGGAGTCGGTGCAACGGATCTTGCACAACAGATATTTGATTTCACGGCAGGTCTTGAAATGGACTTGCAGTTGAGGCTCAGGTACGTGCGCGTGCCAACCTTTTCGAACATAGCTGATGACCCGACCCGAGTAGACTCTTGTTTGACACTATGCGAGCTGCAGGGGCAGAGTTCTTCGACCGTCCGTGGGGCACTGTCGATAAAGTTCTACAGGCAGTTCAGCCTAAAGACTGGGGTTGGCTGCGGGGCGTGAACTGTACCTTCCCCATTGCCCAATGTCAAAGAAAAGTGTGAGGGATCGTGTCAGTGCGCGTGCTTTTTTGCATGTGCCGTCATGTCGCTTTCATGTCTTGAGTTTGAGGACGTATCACGAAAACGATTTCCGAAGGAGGCCAACTGAAGTTCTAGTCTATTGTTTTAGATAGGTCAAAATCGAAGGGATCACTCGAAAAATCATTCCAGGCAGCCCCCCCGCCCCGCCATTTCGTGTGGAGCGAATCAATAGGGCCCGCCTTAACGCCCCTCCTCCCCCCACCAAGAGGACGCGAAATCACACACACATAATCCCCATGAAATTTTTAAGGCGTTCTCACATTCATCGTTGTCATCGCTTTCGTTTCCCGTAACCAGAGCATAAGAAAACCGGTGCTCGAAGGCAGGAATAAATCACGTGTTTTTTTTGACCGAAGATGCCCATGATGGATACGTCAGGGGTTTTTGCGCACATTAAAGCTCGGGTTTCCGATCACTTAAGGATGGAGGTCTGCCCGGCTCGCCGGTCTCCTCGGCTCCCCCCGCTAGGGACCGTGGCTTGCCTGGAAGCTGACCGGCTCACCCACAGCTTCTGCCCTGACCTTCAGCGTGCGAAAAATTTGGAGGAAAATAGACGGAGTTTGAGGTTGGGAGCGGAAGAAGAACGGAACAAAGAGGGAATTAAACTTCAGATTGCTCCTGCCGATTGCCCCTGCGGGTCACAGTGGCCAGGCGGAGAACCGGGAAAAATACAAAAAGGAACACAGGCGGAGTAAGTTGGCAGCTTTGGGGAACCGCGTGCAGAGCAGCATGCGCATGTAATCGGGAACATTCAGATCCATGTGGATATCTATATGCCCTTCTGGGTCTGAAAAGTTAATGTTGCAAAAAACAAATTTTGGACGGGAACAGGGGGGTCAAGAGGGCGCAAGAGGGTGGAAAGGAAACGCAATAAAGAACAAACGTCGACACATTGATGTCTTGCTGCTGCCAGCACAGTGGCCGAAGACCGGTGCCAGTTGGCGAGGGCTTGTTGTTCCCAATCAAAAACGTTCAACGGGATTGGAATGAATGCTGACACACGAGTGCGACAGACGAAGTTAGCCTCTCGCTACAAAAAACTAAGGGCGTTGACTCACAATTAACTATATATTCCTCAGTCATTCTTTTAGTGCCATCCAAAAAGATCCCCCTTTTCCCCAGATAGCGAAGCTATGGGGTTCTCACCTTCAAATAGCAATGAGTTGCCCGTGCGCGCTTTCGAGACAGGTTGCTGGTGCTGGGTGCCGGTGCTGGTGCTGGTGCCGGGTGCCGGTGCTGGTGTGCACGTGGTGGAGACAGGTTGCTGGTGCTGGTGGTGGTGCTGTGAGCTGGCTGTGGGTGTTGTGAGCTGGCTGTGCACGTGGTGGGGACAGGTTGCTGGTGCTGGTGCTGGTGCCGGTTGCCGGTGCTGGTGCTGTGAGCTGGCCGTGCACGTGGTGGAGACAGGTTGCTGGTGCTGGTGCCGGGTGGCGGTGCTGGTGCCCGCTTCTGACAGTGAAGTGATAACAACCGCCGCTTCTGACAGTGAAGGGTATCAAACCGCCGCTTGCAGCAGTGAAGGGCGACCAAGCGCCGCTTCTGACAATGAAGTGCCAGCAGTCATGGGCCGCATAAACTTATGCACGCAACATCATACGGTGTTGTCGCTGGAGCGTTCTTTGTCTATTAGCGCTGTGGGGTACTTGCAGTTCTGTTTTGGCCGGCAGCTGTGTCAAGGGCTGTACTGTTTGCGCGCATAGTTTTTTACGTATAATGTGTTCTGTGCGCAACGTCAGGCTCTCAACCGACCATTGTTCCAGCATGTTTCAGCATGCTACACACAATAGTCGTGCTGGATACTGCTTGGCCTTGGGCGAGCGAAGCCTACGGGCTTTGTTTGCGTTTGTGCGCGTACTTTTGTGCAATAAACTTTTACGCGCAAGGTCATACGGCCTTATCGTCCTGCAGATCGTTGCTTCAAGCATGCTAGTCAGTCAATAGTGGCGCTGGATACTGCTTGGCCTTGGGCCAATGACACTTACGGGCTTTGCTGTTTGCATGCATATTTTTTTGGTATGCATAAACATATATGCGCAAGATCATACGTTGTTATTCCTCAAATAGGGATAGCTATGGGGTTCTTGCTGCAAATAAGAATGAACTGGTTGCGCTTTCGAAAGCGTGTCGGTGCTGGTGCTGGTTTTGGGTGCTGGTGCTGTGAGCTGGCAGCTGGCTGAGCGCGCTTTTAAGACAGGGAGGTGCCACAAGCTGGCTGTGCAGGCTGCGTGCATTCTTGCTCCAGCCAGTCGCATGTCAACAGGTCGTGGGATTCTGCCTAGCTATCTGGGTCTATGCTGGTGTAATCTCGCAAGTGTCCAAGGATATGTCCAGTGAAGGTCGCAGTGCCATTGGTTCGGTTCAATCCCATTATCAACCTGACACACGGGGAATCATGAGCGTGGTGGCCGCAGATGGTTCAATTGGTTATCAATGTTTGTTGCCAACATGCGCCTTCGTTCCTTGGCGTGCTTTATTTTTTTGCGGGCGTTGAAATAGCACTAGCATACAGCAGTAAGGAAACTTAACAAATTGTCCGGGTTTTTGGATCACATGCATACAACATTAGGCCTTTGTGTTGGTGATGGTGCTTTCATTTGCCAGGCCAATGTGTGGAGGACATGTCCCCGCTTGTTTTTGACAATGCATTTTTCCGAGTGTTCCGTGTTTATATTCTCAATCCCGGCTGTCCCGTTGCAGGATTCCTTTGCAGCGACAAGCTTGCCAAAGGCCCATCCAATTTGGCTAATAAACGGCGGATGTTCATCAAAATTTGGTTTGATCGTTGAAGTTGTCAACGCAAACCCCAAAAACGAGATGGTGTGCAGTCAACGTTTAGCACCAATTCTATCCAATTCTTGTGTGGAGGCTAATGCGCAACGATGCGGCACTGCTTTCCAGGACTGAGTTTGAGATTTGTTGTTTCAATCGCTCTGAAACTTTGGGCCTGTTTGAGCCGACAATTTGCATGCATCTTCCTGGAGAGAGAGAAAGGGAAAAAAGAGAGAGAGAGAGAGCATACTGAATACACATCGCCCAGGAGCAGGATTCACGGTTCAGCGATTTCTTCAGCAACACAGTCGGGGTGCGCAGTCTTGAAGGTATGGGCCAAAAAATGCCTATGGACTGTGGCCTTGTATGGTCGGCTTGTATATTTGACTTGTGACTTTTTTGTATTTTTGGCCAGTTGTGACCGTTGCAATATATAGTCGATACACCTAACATCGAAACGACACTTTGTTGCCAATTCTGTTGGCCAGCGCTAACAATAGACTTGGTACAAGGCCACCCTTAGCCTGCAATCTTTTGGCCCAGGCCGCGCCAAAAAAAATCACAAGAGCAGACGCGGCCCATTTCCTGTCACCACGTGCTTCAACAAGTGGGCGGGCGGCTGCCTTCAATTACACAGTGGAAGAGGCAGGGAACAAAAGGTACGAAATCAATGCCATTGCTCTAAAGGATTAACTTGGATGAATTTGCTTTGTTTTGTTTCTTTAATATCCGCTTGGTCTCATATTGATTCGCTGTCATGAGTGGGTGAAAAGGTGGTGGAGTGCATTTTTTCACCGGCTTCTTGTCAGGCGGCTCATGCAGCTCACCACTCCAATGAAGAGCAGAGAGTGCTGAAGAAAGCGTTGGCCAAGGCGACAGAAAGACTTCAACGACCTGACTTGTGCCAGCACATCAGGCCGCACCGCATTGCAGTGTAGAGCTGACAGGATCACTCCCTCACAGCAGAGGAGGCAAAATTCTTCTCCTTCATCTCGGGGCCTCTAACCTTCTTGACTCTTGGTCGGCACGATGTTGAATTGTTTGTGGGCGCCCGGCAAAAATAGCGATTTTTGTAAAGGCTGTGCTCGTTTGCAAATGGCGGGGCTTTTGCTCGCTCCAGGACCAGCATGTTCGCAATTACCGCAGCCTACCTCGAGGTGCAGAACGGATGGATGCTCTCGCAGCAGTGACCTCAGATTGACCTGTCAGATGGGTGAACAATGCGTTCGACTGTTTTTAGCACGTGCACACACAGACACACTCCAAACCATACATTATGGGAAAGTACAGTGTTATAAGTTATATTATGTACAATTTATGTGCCTGTTACAGAGGCTTCTCAAACTGCTCAGGTAAGCGAAGATGATGAAAGAGGAGTCTTTCATTCGTTTTGCATGGGACGTCCTGTTTACGTTTGGATCATCTACTGAAAACTCGACAAAGATTGAAGAGTCGTCTACTCTCATTGTGTTGGCCGCTCCAAAATCCAGTCTGAATCGATCCCAAGCACTTGTTAGCTTGTGAAGGGCTTTTGTTTCCAGAGCGATTTGTGTTTGGACCATGTTAGGTGTTAATATCCTTGACGCCGTGGCCTGCTTACAGGTGCAATTAGACCACGAGATAACTTGGTGATTTTTTTGGGCCACTCGTTGGGGTGTAGGCACGTGCGAGCCAACCGTGCAGACAATTTAGGCAACTTCAGTGCACATAACTCGGCTTCGTCAACAAGTCTTACTGGAAAGGGCCAAGGGCGGACTGCAGGTTTTCAAAACTTGTCCTGAACACATGCTGCCTTTAGCTTGCTTGATGGCATGTGGTTGGTGCAGGCGTGAGGCAAGCTAGTGCCATGGCAATGGCACCAATGGCGCCAATGGGCTTTCCATTTGATCCCGCATTGCTGCTGAGTTTTGGTGAGCCATGGGACCAAAGCAAGGTACAGATGCTGGACCACGTGGTGAACCTTATGTACTCAGGTGACCAATCACAACGCAAGCTGGCCCATGAAATACTGACACAGGTCAAAACTCACCCAGATTCCTGGTTTGCAGTGGACACCATTCTAGCGACGTCATCCAGTCCAGACACCAAGTTTTTTGCACTCAATGTTCTGGAAAACGTGATCTGCACGCGTTGGATGGTGCTTCCAGACACACAGAAGGCTGGCATCAAAAACTACGTTGTTCAACTAGTGATCAAGATCTCTGCGGATGAGCATTTTGCTACAACACAGAAGCATTTCCTGACAAAGTTGAACGAGACTTTGGTTCATATTGTCAAGCAGGAGTGGCCGCATTCTTGGGACAATTTCATCCCGGACCTGTGTGGATCCTGCAAGACGAATCAAATGCTTTGTGAGAACAACCTTCGCATTCTAAACATGCTGAGCGAGGAAATTTTCACATTTGGAAAGTCTCACATGGTGTCGAGGAAAGTCGTGAAGCTCCTATGCTCATCAAGTCAGCAAGTCTTTTTTATTTTCTTATTTTTTTTTTGTTGGGGGGGTTCCGTCATCAAGGTAATTCTTTTGTGAACCTTTAGCTGTTGGTTCTCCGAGGTTGAAGGAATCGCTCAACTCGCAGTTTGCCGCGATTTACGATCTATGCACTTTCATTCTCAGGAGTCATGTGCAAAGCCCTGGGTCGGTCAAGCCTACTTTGATCATCACGACGCTGGGGACTCTGGCAAACTTCTTGGAGTGGATTGCCTTGGGCTTCATTTTTGAGACAGATTTGATCCAGATGCTGTTGCTACACTTCTGGGACCCTTTGGAGTACCGGATTGAATGTGCCAAATGCCTTAATGAGATTGCTTGCTTGCATGATGGGGTCCAACAGTACCAACCACAAATGATTCGCTGCTTCCAAGGCGTAGTAGAGAAGATCCAGCAGCTGCCGGAATACATCCCACAGAGCTCTGCAGGTTTGTCTGGACAGCAGCACATTTTTTGGGAGGTCTTCCACAACCAAGTGGCACTACTTCTCACTGGCTTTCTCAAGCATCACATGCAGGCAATGGAAGCTCAAAGCCGGTACATGATCCCAGCATTGAAGTATTTGGTCAGAATATCAATGGGACCGAATGAAGAAACTTTCAAGATATGCGTGGAATTCTGGCAAACATTCAGCGCTCGTGTTTATTTGGAGAACCAGTCCCAGTTTCAGCAAATGTCTCCGCTTCTGATGGATGGTTCACGTGCAGATTCCAATGCTCAGCGAGAGAAGCTGAAACTCTACGCTCCAGTCCTAGTGGAAGTTCGTCAAGTTCTTATCTCCAAGATGGTTAAACCTCCAGAAGTCACAATCAAAGAAAATGAGGAGGGTCACATCGTGCGCGTTGAGGAGGAAGATACTGATGAGCTTGCTTTGTACAAAATGATGCGGGAGGCATTGATCTATCTCACCCATTTGGATCCAGAGCACATGGAAAACCTAGTGCTGCAACGAGTTGCTCATGAGTGTTTGGAACGGAAAGATGACCTTGAGAAGTGGTGTCCGACTATGCTCAATCGCTTGTGTTGGGCCATCGGTTCCATCAGTGGGGCAATGCAGGAGTCAGAAGAGAAGAAATTTGTCGTGGCAGTGATCCGGGACCTTTTGAAGCTATGCGATCTCAAGAAAGGCAAGGAAAACAAGGCGGCTGTGGCAAGCAACATCATGTATGTGGTGGGGCAGTATCCTCGGTTCCTCAGAGCTCATTGGAAGTTTCTGAAGACAGTAATCTTCAAGCTCTTTGAGTTTATGCATGAGACTTTTCCTGGGGTTCAGCAGATGGCAGTGGACACTTTTCTACGAATTTGCCAGAAGTGCAAGAAGAAATTCGTTGCCCAACAAGCCCAGGAACCTGCTCCCTTTATTGAGACAATGCCTAGTCACATTGCACAGGACATCTCTGAGTTGGAGCACTTGCAAATATGCACCTTCTTTGAAGCAGTTGGGCATATGATCAGCGCGGCACATGTAGAGCAAAAAGGTCGGCTCATAACATTGAACTTGGCTATCTTCAATGAGAAGTGGATGAGCATCCTACAGGATCTTTCGAAGGCAGGTTCTTTGGAACTCTTTGTGCAGAATCACCAGGTCCTCCGGGAGCTCTCCTTGATCCTCCGTGTGAATGAGCGCATGGTTGTGTCTGTGGGTACTGCGTGCCATGGACAGCTCGCCTCGATTTATTGTGAGATGTTGAAGATCTACAAGGTGTGTAGCGATTTCATCTCTATGAGCACTGCCCAGCAAGGCGTTCAGGTCATGAATTTCTCAAACGTACGACTGCTGCGAAATGTGAAGCGAGACACCTTGAGGTTGGTGCGTTCCTTCCTGGATGCTGCTACGCCCCAAGGTGCTGCAGAAGTGCACTTGACACCAGAGCAGATTGCTCAAAAATTTGTGCCGCCTTTACTGGAACCAGTTTTGGCCGACTATCGCAGCAACATTCCACAAGCTCGTGACGCAGAAGTTCTAGACTTACTCGCAGTGCTTGCTACACGAATTAGTGGGTCCATTTCGCAGGAGGTGGGTAAAATCTTTGAGATGGTCCTGGAGTGCACCTGTGACATGATCAAAGGCGACTTCCAAAGCTATCCTGACCATAGAGTGAAGCTCTATGACCTTTTGAAGGCCATCAATGCACATTGCTTCCAAGCGCTGTTCTACTTACCAGAAGCCCAAGTGAAGCTCTATGTTGACTCCTTGATTTGGGCAATGAAACATGAACAGCCTCAAGTTGCTGATAGTGGGTTGCAGGTCCTGTCACAGTTCTTGGAAAAGCTTCTGAGTGGGCCCAGCACAATCAAGATTGCATTCTTCAAGCAGTACTTCTTTCTGATCTTGCAAGATGTCCTGTGCGTTCTTACGGACACCTCGCACAAAAGTGGCTTCAAGCTCCAGCAGCACATCCTGCTGCAGCTTGTCGTGGCCGTTGAGACAGGCCTACTCCAAGAAGCAGTGCCAAAGCAGCAGGCTATGGAGTTCCTCTTTGACTTGACTGGCAAATCCTTCCCGACCTTGAACCAGAGCCAGGCAGAAATCTTTGTACTGCATTGCTTCAACAAATCACGGCAGCCGGCCGAGTTTCAACAGCATATCAGAGATTTCCTGATTCAACTCAAGGAATGGGGTAGCCACGAGTCTGCCTTATATGAGGCAGAGAGGCAAGCGGCGCAGGAAGAACAACAACAGTTAGATCGACAAATGAGGATGCAAGTTCCTGGCCTCATTCCTCAGTACGACGCATCAAGGCAAGAAGACATGGATGATCTATAATGTTTGAGTCCATGATGCGCCTGAGATTTGTGCACGAATAGAGGCACTCAGGTGCGAGACCTTTGGAGGGCACAGGGCTCGAAAAAGGCGATGTCAGGTTTTGATAACGCAGGAAAGTTAGGATTAGATAGCATTAGTGCAAGTATCTCAGTATCTCAGTATCTCTTGTGGTGTTGTTGTCACACTTTGTTCTGGAGCCACGCGCTCCGAGTCCATTCTGATCCTAAGTGAAGTGAGTTGTTCCAGCGCCGCACATTCTGAGCCGCCAAGCATACTGAATCAGATGGAGTCCAATGAAGCTTCAAAAGACCCCGGCTCCCGGCTCAGGATATTGCTCATGGTGCTCCCCGCGAGCAGTGAAGAATCACCAGAAGCGCGCAAGCAGTGCGGCCAAGCTTGGCGCGAGGGATTAGGAGCACCATGTTGGCTTTTGAAGCAGGCTCAGTCTCCAAATGAGGTTGTGTTTTGAAGCAGCTTTGCGCTACTGGAGCTACTGTACTTTTCGCACAGTGAATCTGATGGGGTAGCAGATTGCGGCAGCCTGTTCTTGTTGTATCTGCATCGTGGTAAACACAACTCTGAACCACACTTTGGGGGAATGTAGTGTGGTGAAACGATGATGCCGTTCAATGTCTGTCTTCAAAAGCTTGTGCAGCAGTGCCGGAAGCTGGGTATGAAACCTGGTACTTTGCATATTCAAGGCCTGGGAGTGCTCTAGGCAAGTTCTATTGGAGCGATAGTGAGCTACAGTGAGTGTGGCTGACCATTTGATATGTACGCCATGCTTATGAGGTTGGCAAGCTATAGAACATTCCCGCGCCGAAGAGCTGATCTTGTCATGAATTAGCTTCGAAAGGAGACGGAACTTTCCTGATTTTGTGTTCTTGTGCGGTGGCTACAGCTTCGCTATATATACATATATGCACATACTATGTTCCGTGTCTTGGTGATCCCTGATCTGTGAATCTGTGGCTTTGTGTTTTGACGCAGCCCATGTTTTGCGGCAATTTGCCAAGCCTCTCACTGCTCAATGTAGATCGGCCAAGATGTGTGGATGAGCCTTGCGTCGGCTCAGAAACATACGGCACACTTGCAAGA